AAAAGCGAATATATTATTAAATTATTAAATATTTGCTAATTATCAGTTTGGGGGTTTCCCAAAGAATAGCGAGATATTTTTGCCATGAAGTTGCTGCGCTTTGATTTGAATCGGCTGGTACCGACTTCAAAAATATCTGATTAGGTATCTATTCTAAAAACCCTCGTTTAGTTATTTTTTACTTTTTAATTTTCCATTTTAGTGTAGACGTAATAAGCAGGTAATTTGTAAAAAGATTTTTTTAATAACATATTCGATTAGGCCATTTATTTAAAAATAATTGATTATTGATTTTTTAAAAACCTCTCAACCGATGTCGATAAAATTTAAATGGGACCAACTGGGAAGTATACCCTTCGAAACAAAAAAAGAACTTTTCAAATTGGTTTAGGCGTCTTCGAGTAATCGGTGAACACACATAAAAAAAAGAAAAAAAAAAGAATTTGACAAATTGAGAACCTCCTCGTTTTGGAAGTCGGTTGAAAAACAAAATACTTTTCGAATGTAATACAACCGTTATTTATAATAAAAAGTATATACATATTTTGGCTCGCAGTGCATATTAAATGGTTGACGGTGATATTTTTTAGTGGAAAATTATTTACTCAATTAAAAATTAAATAAATTTTACCAAAATAAATCGAAAAATATTAAAGATATACTTAGACATGTCCAATTTAAAAAAAAAATTAATTATATATAGATAAAAAAAACAAACAGTACATTTTAAGGTTTACTATTTATGCTTGAGTTAAGGTAAATGAAACTAATTTGTGCCCAACCTAACACTTCTAGTAGCCACTGAAACTTTTTGAATTGAATAAATCAAATTAAGAATTTGATCTTGCAGTGGGTCTTTGTTATTGTGGAAATATGCGTTTCAAACTTTAGTTAAATTTTTACTTTTTACGGGATGCTTACCCATGCAAACTTTCATCCCCGTTTTCACCCTCTTAAGGGATGATTTCCGTAATAAAATCTGTGTTGTCCTTCCCACGGTCTCAAACTTAGTTCTTACCAAATTTCATCTAAATCGGTTCAGTAGATCCTGAGATTACCCCCTACAACGTCACAAACTCACAAACATTTCCTCTTTATAATATTAGTATAGATTAGTATAGATACACAAGTTCATCGGGCCACGACTTAGATATTCGCAATTACATAGGTGCTACTTATAATTGATCATTAAATAAAATAATTAGTATTAGGTTAAAATTAAATTAGATGTTAATTACAAAGTCCAAACGATTCCGGGTGAAATTCTTAACCTTGCGATAATATTATTTACAAACAAGTATCGAAAATAATATGTTCTAGCGAGTTCTTTCAATTTCTTTTCAATAATTCATACTCAATTCATATTCATACTCATACTCAACTAGTAATTTATAAACAATCCGATAATGGCAACTGACATGAAAGCTTTAAATGGTTATCACATTGAGGTTAAGTAAGATTTCCGGATGAAATTCAAAAATTTTCAAAATTTTCCACTAAAATTTACCTATTGATAATTGAAATTTATTCTTATTTATTGGCAATCACTTTTTATTAGATAAATTTATGAAAATAATGTCATTTTTATATTTTTTAGTACTGCTGTTTGACGTGAATCACATAGTTACAGGTGTTTAATCTTAGTTTTGACGGTATTAGTTAACTGCCCTCTACAATTATTGCAATCAGTGAGACTTAAATAAGTTAAACTCCAAACTGACGATTGTTGCTATAAATAGCCGACAATATTTTAAGATATGAATATCTAATAGGTAAATATGTATTTTACGTATTGAAATAAGTATATTAGATTTGCTTTGCATCGGCTGGCACTTCGGAAATATCTGATTAGGTATGTATTCTAAATAAAAACCTCCGTTTTGTTATTTTTTGCATTTTAGTGCCTGGGAGTCGGTTATTATTTTTATTAAAAAAGTTTTTATAAAGTAAGCACTTCATGATTACTTCAATTTATATCCATATTAAATGTAGAATACAAAAATCTACATTACTTTTAGATTAATTTTATTCACGTTATACATTCACTTTTTAGTTTTCTATTTTATTATGGATCATCGGTCAGTATCTAAATGATATAAATTATAACGTATATGATTAGAAATCCTTACCCTATCTATAACGTACATACGTTTGAAAAAAAAGATTAACTTATTACTCTACACCTCAAAATGGTATAGAAAAAAATATTGAAATAAAATACATAAAATTATCTCAGTAATACAAAAATAATATAAACAGTAAAATTAATCTTTCACCTAAATAAATATTTTTTTAAGTGAACTTAATTAAGAACTTTATTTTTCATAATCTTTGACCTTTTATCGCGGCTTTAAATATAATCACTTTAGACTGATAGTAGTCACTAGGAAGCAAGTACCATTGTTTGTTTATTAAACGATGAAGTCATGTACTTAAACAAATCTTTACTTCTTTACTTATAAATAGAATAATTTTATTATAATTTCAAAATAACTCCCCTTTATTCCACATTTAAAATATAGTTGCTAATTCGGAATTTGTTTGTATATATTTTATTTGTTGGATATTTTTAAAGCATAAAAATATCAGAAAAAATGGGTAGAAAACAGAATATAAAAATCAAATAAAATGAAAGAAAAATCTGATTTTATTTTTAAAAGTCCTAGTCACATGGCATTAAATATTAATAAGCTTAATTTTAATTTAACAATACCCTCAACAATCTTATTATACAATAGTCGCTTATATATATTTTTTAATATGGTCCCTTTATATTATACTAGTAATGAATTTGAAAATTTAATTTGAATTAATAAAATTTTTGAATCGAAAATTAATGTATCACTATTTTTTTTATAAATATGTCAGATTAAAAGAAAATAGGTAAAATAATTATATTAAAAACTATCATAGTTAATCGGATTACTATAATAAATAAGAAATTTTGAATGTGTGTGAGTGTATGTTTCTTTATCCTTCCCGCTGAAAGTGCTGTACGGATTTAGATGAAATTTAGCGGGCACATAGACCTGGAGTAAAATAAAGGCTACTGTTAGCACTTCGGGACACACCAGAGTGAGGGTTACTTACAAATAATAAGTTGCTAGTTAGAATTATTTATTAACTTTCTTTAATGTTACTAATAGAAATCATGGGAAAGAAACTTTGAACTCAAGAAGAAAACAAGATTATATATAAGTGAATGACCACAATGTTTTATTATGTCTATCACACATGATTAATGTGTAAACAAAACTCTATTTTAAAACTTAGGAATTTTTAACCGTTATTGATTTGTATTTATAAAAATGTAATTTTATAGTAAAAGTTGTAAATCTTACTCAGTATCGGCAATGCATTTGATATTTAATCGACTTCCAATTTCAAAAAGGAGGAGTTTCTCAATTCGTCGGAATCTTTTTTTTAATGTATGTTCACCGATTACTCGAAGACGCCTGAACCGATTTGGATTTTTTTTAATTCAAAGGGTATACTTCCCAGGTGGTTCCATACATATTTTTTTTAATAAATTGTTTAATCGAATGTGTTATTAAAAAACTTTCTTCTTACAAATTACCTGCTTATTACGTCTACAAATGAAAGGATAAAGATGAAACGATAAAAATGGAAAAATAATAACTTTTTAACAAAAAATAAAAACCGACTTCCAGGCACTGAAATGTAAAAAATAACCAAACGGAGGTTTTCATTTAGAATAGATACCTAATCAGATATTTTCGAAGTCGGTGCCAGTCTACAATATTTTAAGATATGAATATCTAATAGGTACCTAAATATGTATTTTACGTATTGAAATAATTAGATTTGCTTTGCATCGGCTGGCACCGACTTCGAAAATATCTGGTTAGGTATCTATTCTAAATGAAAACCTCTGTTTAGTTATTTTTTACATTTTTGTGCTTGGACGTCTTTTATTTTTTGTTAAAAAGTTTTTACTTAAATAATATTTCTTGTTCATCTCAAACTAGACATCGAGGATATATGTAATATTGATGACAAATCTTACTCAACAATTTTAATGATATTTAATCCAAAAGATAATTTGCATAATAATTAGATAGATATGGATGTGATCTCTTTTTATCCCGTAAAATACTTCGTGGCATAGATAATTTATTGTAGGATATGGGTCACCACAGGTTGTCTGTAAGAGATTGCTCGTAGCAATAAGACCGCCTTTGCATGCCGTTTTGTTATTTATTTTTTATTTTTATCTTCTGTACTCTTCTTTTGTGTGTGCAATAAAGAATTTATCTATCTATCTATCTAAGTTACCTGGAGATTTGGGCTAGAATTTTTAGGGAGCTTAATTTTCTACATGTGTACTTTCGTTGTGATATCTCTTAGTAATTAATATTTCTTCATTTTTATGAAATACACGGAGAATAATATCGCGGCGCAAATTCATAATTACTTAAAGGTACCTTTCAATTAAAATTCAATATCAATCAGTCTTGAATAGATTTGAAATTAATCAATGTAATATAACAAATGATAGGCCTAAAGTTATATGCAGTAAAAATAATATAAATTAAACTTAATTTAATAATACATTTTAATTTTTAACCGATTCCAAAAAGGAGAAGATTTTCAATACGGGCGTGTCTTTTTGTGTAGTTATGGTGAATCGGTGTTATAAGAAAATCAACAATGCCTTATTAAGTGGTACTAAGCAAAGACCAGCCAAGGCTAAAAAATATTTTATAACATAATAATATTTATTTAATATTTAAATAAAATTATTAAATCACCTGAATGTGACGTCTTAGGCAGCTGCAGGCTACGAAAATACATACCTATATATTGTCTAGATCACATGAAAACCACGCGAGACGAATGTGTTTCGGAGATAAGAGACAATATACGTAAATGCGAGGACCAACAGACAACACACCGACTTAACCCGCGTGGACGCATGGACGGTTCATTTTTATACTTATAAGTTAAGTGATTTTTGTGTGCGGAAGTGATTTTCAAAAATGGCTACTGTTTGTGTATCTGTAAGTAGTTTAAATAAATTTATAATATATTAGTATATAATATATTATTAAGCTTATTATACTTGGAGTAAAATAAATATTATATTTAATAACGTTAGGGAATCCATATTATAATATTTTTCATGTTTTATATCTTAATTTTAAGTTTTGTATTTAGTTTTATAAAATATTAAACCGGTATTTTAATGTATTACAGTAATAACCAAAAATTTAAGTCACCACTAGCACTATAAATAATATATCTAACTTTAAAATCTGCTATTCTAAAATAAGTATATCACCTTCTTCAAGAACGGGAGAAGTAAACAAAAGGAAAGTAAATAAATCAAAAAACATAAAAACTATTTAACTATAATATAGGTATTTATTTAAAATTTATTTAAATATTATAAAAATATTTAAATCCTTATTACGTACTTGTAAACATGCAAATTATAGAAACAATATTCATTACAAATATATGTGTAAATTTTGCAGGATAAATATACAATTTACAATTTAAATAACATTGAAAATTTTTCTCAAAATTTGAAAAATTTGAAATATTTTAGCCAATCCAGTAAAAATTAAACAAAATTAATTACGGTATAAAATAACTTTCGTTGCGATATAAACAGTATTATAATAATGTCCCAACAACATATAATCACCATAATATTTTTTTCACAAGTGTCTAGGTTATCGAATTATTAAATTCTTGTTTGTTTACATTGTTTGCATATGTAGTTATTAACACGTGAGATTATTTTTAAAATTAATCCAGTTTATATATATTATGCCAAAAACTATTAAAACTATCAATTACATGTAAAACTACTTAGTGTTTTTTGCGAAAAAACCACTGGCACCATTCAATAAAAATGTTTCTTTCTACTACATTCGACTTTTACTTAAGGCATTGGTAACGCGCTCGCTTGGGAAACCGAGTGAAGCGAGTTCAAATCCCGGGTCTTGCACCTCTGATATTTTCATGTGCGAATTATTTCCAACATGATTACCACTTGACTTAACGGTGAAGGAAAACATCGTGAGGAAACCTGTGTTTGTGAGAACCTAGCAAGTTTTCAAAAGACACGTTAAGTCAGCCAACGCGCACTTGGCCAGCGTGGTTTATGGCCTAATTCCTCTTGTACTTGTGACAGGAGAGAGGCCCGTGCCCAGTGGGATTTTAAAAAGGGCTGAATATATACATACATACGACTTTAGACATACATACTTTCCACTTATATTCCTGAAGCAGAAAAAATATATAATATCCAAAAAATTAGAAGAGATAAAATATGCAAATATAATAAAAAGAGAAAAAATACTCCTTGTCTATTATTGATATTCCATTAATACTTCTTTCCACTTTCTCACTTCTACTCTTATAGCGGAAAAAATACTTTTTGGGTCAAAAACTATCACAATGTAAAAGATCTCATAAATCCGTTACACAGAGTAACGGAAAAATACTACACGAAAATCTAACGAAAACATTTCTCACTTGTAATTGGACCCAGTTATGCAAAAAACAGCCATGTGCGTAAAAGTACCAACAGTTAAATATATATGAGGTACCTTTATTAAAAATTTAATCAAAACAATCGGTCCATAATAGACGAAGATATTTCGTAACATTTCAATACAAAAAAACACCGAATTGAGTAACTCCTTCCGTTAAAAATCCATTAAAAACTTTTTTTACTATTTTTCTACGGGAAAAAATACAAAAGAGCTGGTATACTTTACGTGAATTAAAATTTTTATTATTTTTCACGACTCGTCAACTACACAACATTTCAACTTTACAATTTGTTGTAAAGTTGAAATGTTTACGGCGACATTGTACAAATAATAAACGTGAAATTAAAAACTTAAGGACTCCATTTTTTTCGTTTGTTCACGAAAAATACATTGATGTAATCAGTTTATAAAAATTTGGTCAATAAAGTACCTACATTATCAACGATAATTAAAAAAAATGTAGTTTACAAAGTAAAAATTATTGGTTTCTCCAATGTTTTCAATTTGTAAGGTGTTTTTACAGGACGACCATACAATGTTTTTATTTTTTTCAAAAAGTAGAGTTCAAGATCAAAAAATGAGCCCTATCTGAAAATGAACGATTTTTTTAAATGTCCACATAAAACATCCACATAAAGTTGGAGGTGATTTTGAGCCTCTCGAGGCCATAAAACATAAATTTCTCGTAAATGGTTAAATATTTCAAATTCAATTTTTTTTCGATAAAACGTCATGTTATAAGCACAAAGTAGGCAAATTTATGGGAAATATACATATACTGATAATAATAAGTCCTCCAGACTGATTTCGGCCACAGCGGCCAATCTCCTTGAGACTAGCCAACTGCGCAGGAAATATTATAGTGCACAAGTGTACGCTCCTGTCACTCTCATACTCTGGTGGGACGACTGCTCAACACGACCAGACCAGAGAGTTAAGGTGCAGGAACGACGGCTTTATGCGTTCTACGAGCAGGGGGGTGAAACACCACAAACTTCCCAACTCCGCGCTGTTACTGAAGCTTACTAAATAGAAAGACTCAATAACTAAACTAGGCCCGACCCGGGACTTGAACCCAGGACCTCCTGATGTGCAACATGCTAGCCACTACACCACCGAGGCAGTTATCATCATTATACACTAATATCACTATATTAATTAATTATAATTAGTAGAAACAAACTTAAATTTTGATGATTTACGATGTTATGAATAAGTTGACCTCCTTTTTTATATTCCTCGCTATCTCTATGCGGACGAAATCACGGGTTTCTGCGACTAAATATAGGCGGTAGGCAAAACACTGTTAACTTTATATAATTAATTCTGAATTTGTCTGTTTGTAAGTTTATATTTAATATATAAATCAATATATGTTCAGCCCTTTTTAAGTCCCACTGCTGGGCACGGGTGTCCCTACAATACTAGGGGATCCGGCCAAAGTCCACACCGCTGGCCAAGTATGATTTAATAATAAGATTTGCTAGGTTCTCTCAGACATGCAGGTTGTTAAATATTATTGTTTAATAACATTAATATTGCTTAGGTAATGAATTAATATTTTTAATTTTTAATATTCTTTATGGTTATACATAATATAATAATAGCAACACTAAATAAAATTAGAAATTAATAAAGTTTTTTAAAAATTGTAATATTTATAATAACAGCTTAAATTAAAATAATAATATTGCTTTATTTAATTATAATACTTATTAAAAAAAATGTTTAGAAATAAAAATCAATAAATATTGTAAGATACTTTAGTGCCATTTTTGAATTTTTTAAATCATTTTTGTAAAATAGTGGGTAGGCACTGTCTGTAACAAGTATATGTCTTTGAGACGTCTGTAACCTTAGTCTCTCCCGTGACCATGATTGCTGTAAAGCATTCGAAACGTTGGGAACCAAAAATCAAAATAAATCCGCGAAATAATCCGAAAAACAAGTTTTATTTAAAACATAAAAAATTGTTATATCTTATAATTTTCATAAGAAATAAAGAATGTTTCGGTGTTTGACCAATCAAAGTTAGTTATATAGGGATTTCTAGTTTTTTTAAAGTACTTACTACTTTAGCGAACGAGGCAGAGTCGATAGTATTATATAATGCTATAACGTAACCTCGTATCTAACATGTCAACAAACATTTATTTCTTATAAATATTGATCTTTGATTTTATATAACATATGATATCAATAAACTGGACTATTTATGTCGCGATGGGCAAAGGTGGGTTTACTTATCACTTATATGTTGTATACATATATGTGGTAAAATATTTTAAAAAATCTTACACGTGCTAATTCTTTTTAACCGACTTCCAAAAAGAAGGAGGTTCTCAATTCGTCGGAATCTTTGTTTTCTTATGTATGTTCCGACCGATTTAGAAATATTTTTTTTGTTTCGAAGGTTATACTTCCCAGGTGGTCCATTTTAATTTTTTATCGAAATCGGTCCAACGATTTAAAAAATCTAGAATAAATTATTTTTTAAATAAATTGCTTAATGGAATATGTTATTAAAAAAACTTTCTTCTTACAAATTACCTGCTTGTTACATCTACACTAAAAATGGAAATGGAAAAACTTAAAAAAAACGACTTGCAGGCACTAAAATATACTAAAATTAAAATACCCTATACTATAATGCCATCACGTAGAAACTACGACCTACGAACGTATCAGTATGAGACTGACCAATCGACGCGGGATCATCTGTAGATAGTTTAAGGTTATTTATTTTTTGAATTCTATAGAATATATTTTTATTTTATTTTTTTTATCTAAAGGATAGTATATACATAAAGAAATATATAAAGATAAGAGAGTTATACTCTTTTTTAATCATTTGGTTTTTTAATTAACCCAAATATTAGAATTAGCGAAAAACCTAAATATTAGTGGCAACCCTTCGCCATACAAGACGTTTTACGACAAACGTTAGGACAAATTATAGCAAAATACATTTTAAGATAAGCCTTAAAAATAAACCTTAAAATATAAAAATTGTATATTTTTAGAACGGCTTACCTCTGGTAAAATTCACCCTTCCAAGATCCCAGGGCCACCAGACGTGACGTATTTTCCGACGAACGAAATGTGGACGATTGGGTAGTGTTAGTATGTACTAAGATCGCATGCCTACCTGCTAGCTTGGTTAGACGGCCAATTTCCAGGTATCAGGTAATCAAGGTACATAAAAACATTACTTACCTCACGTAAATTCTACAAGCTTACTTTCACGTATATTTTAGACAATATCGTTAAAAATAAGTTGTGTATACTCCTAGACATTTTCTGTTAGCCGTATTGCAGACGCTTTAAAACTCTCAAAATAATTACTTAACTTCACGCAAATTCTGATACTCCATTTTATATATGTTCGCCAGACAACTATTTTAAAACCTTTTACAAGAAGACAGACCGATCCAAGGGGCCAATCATCCCCTAAAATCAATTTTAATGCTTCTGTGGGTAGGAACACGAGGACA